GTGCAAAAAACCTTTTTTTTATTTGTTTGTATTTTGTTTAAAAAAGGTAATATTTTCTTCTTTTTACAGAGAGACAAATGGAAACCACAGCTGGCCTGTCTCCTCCTGCAGCTGGACTGGAAGAGGACTCCATGTTCCAGATGAAGGAGCTCCATAAATTACAGAAGAATCCTGAACAAAGCTTCTCCTGTCCTGGGTTAACAGTTTTAAACTCAGAGTATCGGCCCTGGAATTAAAACACAAACGAACAAAAAAACAACATTGTTTTTGGACGTTTTTAGATACGTCAGTCGGAACAAACACTGCTGCTTATAAGACAGAACATTTTGTTGTACAGATTTATTTAAAACGAGACGGGATTGTTTAAATTCTGTAAATGTGTATTTATGTTGTGCTATTCTGTGGCTTAAAGCTAAAACAATTTCTGATAACTTTAACAGGGTTGTACTGCTTTAAAAAGCAAACCTTTTTTACCCTTACAGTTTTGAGCTTTACTTGTCTGTAATGCTGTTCTTTAATTTAAAAAGTGTAATAATAATTTAATGTTAGGGCTTCTTAAAGCGAGCCAAACTGTGTTGTTTCTTCATCTTGAGGTTTGTTTTTTCATCTTCAATAATAAATAAGTGCATGAAAATAATGTTTTTCCCTTTTTTTTCAATTTAACTTTTTTTGTTTAAATGTCAGATAAATACACCAGTTTAAAATTTTAATGTGTACACTGCAAAAAGTTCCATAGGCTACCTTTGCAAGATAAGATAGCATACTGTTTTTTTTAAACCAAAGTAGTGGAATTTATGATAAGTTGACAATAATATGACACCATGTTGTTTTGACAATGTAAAAATCACAGTTTAAAACTTGTTTTGGGTAATTTCTTTAGAAGAAATATGCAGACTCAAGAAATATGCAGAATCAAGAGTCTTAGTAAAAACAAAACAAACTCCAATGCAACCCATTTTATGGTGTTACAAAACAGTGCTCCAAGTCTATGTTTTCCGTAATTTACGTTATAAATAAACATTTGAACTGGTCGGGCAATCTGGATCTCTCCAGAGACGAGCAGATTTCTTAGTGTTTTTCCTGACAAAACATTACACTCTGTGTGACGGCAACTAATGAGAACACAAACTAAAGCACACTTTAGTATCATTTGCAAGTTTCCAGGCTCTGAACATGTCTGCCAGCCTGGTGATGAACTGAACACTGAATAACTTGCAGTAAACACGAACAAACCCCAGGACCTAATGAATGATAAAAGAGAGAAGCTGTAAAACGGCCTTTGGCTTCATGAACAAAGGGAGCTCGCTCTGACTGACATCTGCCCTCACCCTGTCACCAACTGTCCCACATGTGTCCCATCRGATGGGTAGATGTGTGGGTAGATAGGTGGATATACGGGTAGATATATAGATGGTAGATGTGTGGATAGATAGAAAGGTGGATATACGGGTAAATATACAGTATAGATGGTGGATGTGTGGGTAGATAGAAAGGTTGATATATGGGTAGATATATAGATGGGTAGATGTGTGGATAGATAGAAAGGTTGATATATGGGTAGATATATAGATGGGTAGATGTGTGGATAGATAGAAAGGTTGATATATGGGTAGATATATAGATGGTAGATGTGTGGATAGATAGGTGGATATACGGGTAGATACATAGATGGGTAGATAGAAAGGAGGATATATGGGTAGATCTATAGATGGGTAGATAGATTGATGGGTAGATGGATAGATAAAAAGAGGAATAGATAGATGAATAGATGGATATAGGTAGATGGATAGATGGTTAGATATATGAATGGGTAGATGGATAGATAAAAAGAGGAATAGATACAGTAGATAGGTAGATAGTGAGATAAGTAGATGGGTAGCCAGATGAGTATAGATGGTTAGATAGAAGAATGAGTAGATGGATAGGTAGATAGGTAGATGGATAGATGGGTAGATAGAAGGATGTGTTGATAGAAGGAGGGGTAGCTAGATAGATGGATAGATGGATATTTGGGTAGATATTGATGGGTAGATGATAGATAAAAGAGGAATAGGTAAATAGGTAGATAGCTACATGGGTATAGATGGGTAGATACTACTGCTGTAAGTGTCCTTGGGTGTCCTGAAAGGCGCTTTTCAAATAAAATTATTATT